TGTGCTGTTATCTATGAAGTCATTCCCACGCACCTGAAAGGTCGGAAACGATCACGTTATTCGACCGTGGACATGCAAGGAACATTGTTTGCCTGTAAGGGAAATGTATCTGCACTCCTAACATTTGTCCAAGGTATCACCTTTTTTGGGGAAAAGATGCCCTAGGGATTGTGTGGTAGATCCAGAATCGACTTGGGAAAGGACCCTTGCTTGCATATGTTTCATAGCTTCCATTCATGCTGTGTTAATTTCGATACTTTACTGCTTGAACAGGTTCATGCGTTGTACTCTGGATCGGCAGTCAATATAGTCCTCATAACTCCCGAAAAAGCCATCAAGTTGGTAGCCAACGACTTCTTTCGACACCATCTCTCTGTGCCCGGACAAAAGTAGCTACTTTTGTTTACATTCGAACTCAAGTTGTATTATCTGAGTGTATATAGCAACCTATAGGAAGCTGTCAGCATGGCGAGGAATGATCGCAGGAGGAATGGCCGGCATGTTCCAGATTATAGTAACCACTCCCATGGAGCTACTCAAAATACAGATGCAAGATCAGGGACGAACCGCAGGTCACAATGTTCATCTTTATGCATCTTATTTATTCGCGTTTGTTACTTTGAAGGTATGGTCCGGTTTACTTTTGCTCTATGCGAAACTTGTCTCACTTGAATTTGAGCCACATTTTATGGAGACAGTTATCAAGTTTGTGAGTTCCAACGCTTTGCATAGTTTTACCGCGATTCGAAGCACTTTAGTTATACTAGTGGAGTTTTTGCTTATGGGTTATATTAGATGGGTGTTGGCGAGTGCAAACTACGGGATTTCTGGCCAACTTTGTTCTGCTGTCTTCCCACGTCTGCTGTGAAATGTCGCGCCTTCAGCATCTGATTAGAGAAGATTTTACAGACGCTTTGATTCATCCATGCTTTGTCTCTTTATGTTCTCCCTTATTTGTGTGCGTTTTATCCACTGCTCTTTTTCCTGGCTATGGTGATTTTTTCCAGTTCCTGGCCAAAAGAAGATGACGGCGCTCGAACTCACCACTAAACTTTTGAGAGAAAATGGCATAGCAGGGCTGTACAAGTGAGTATGTGTGATAAGTGGTGTCCCAAAACTCATCTCAACTTATATCGTTGCTTTATTCCTCACGAAACTCACTCAAAGTGGTCTGGTATAATGTGGTGATCTTTCACGCACAACCACCTCCCAACTGAACAGACGATGTAGCCTGTCCGAACACTCGCTGATTTGCAGAATGATCCATTCTTCGACCACGTTCTTTGTCTCGGCACTGTTACCCAATTGTTTCTCCTCGAAGCTATGTTGAAGAGGTCTAACCGTATAGCAATCGCATGGATTGAAGGCCGTGGGCACGATTACCGGGAGACAAAAAAATGATTATTCGTTAGGGAACAACTGACTCATAGAAGTATTTAGGCGTAAGTTAAAGTGCATTACAGCATGTGGACAAGGAATGCACCTTATTCGACGTACTTTACCTGTAAAAAGTCTGGGTGGATTTGTCACGTGCTGAGGGTTTTTCTGGGTTTCTGAGTTTTAAGAAGAACTTTGGCCGAATCGAGGTTTTCCTTCTTCGGTTGTCGTTAACGTTATTGGTGGAGAGGCTAAATGGATGAGACTAAAAGCCCTTCCATCATTGACACGGGCAACAACCGTCTGCCTCCAACAATCGTGCCAACTGCGTTGAAGCCAGCAAAGTATACTGGGTCAGGGGAAACATTAATTTCCAATCTCTGTAAAGTAGCGGGCATTTTAGTAGGTGTTTGCTGGCCTGATCTCTAACAAGGGAATGGTTTGAACTTCCCATGGAACTTTGAATGGAGACCTAGGTACATCGATAGAGCCTCGAATGCTGATTACGAATATGCAGATTAAAAGTGCTACGGGGACCTCCCAGACGAGATCTGGTCAAAGTTTGCGAAAAGCCAGTTTTGGCTCGTAAGCGCTGCTGATCGATGCCTCGGCAGTGCCACCGTGGCCTCGTGGTAATGGTCTCGCTTTCAAGTCAAACGCAGGCGGGTTTGCATCCGGTTGCGCGAAAATTTCTGCTTCGCTCCCTATAAGAGCTTCAACTCTAATTTT